TTTGGTCGGCGGTGTGGCCTGAACTCTGGGCCTGGGCGCTGTCCCTCAGCTCTTCAGCTCAAGGCGAGCACTCTACCACTTGAGCTACAGCGTGAGGCATTTCTTTTACCATAGCCTCTATGACAAATACAAGATCTATTTTGTAGTTTTAATTTGCATTTATTTCTTAGTCCAGGAGTTTTTTTGTTTGTTTGTTTTTGTATTTTTTGTCAGTCATGGGGCTTGAACTCTGGGCCTAGGCACTGTCCCTCAGCTCTTCAGCTCAAGGCAAGCACTCTACCACTTGAGCCACAGCACCACTTCTGTTTTTTTCTGATGGATTATTGGAGATTAAAAGTCTCACAGGCTGACTTTGAACCGTGATCCTCAGATCTCAGCCTCCTGAGGAGCTAGGATTACAAGTGTGAGCCACCGGCGCCTGGCAGTCCAGGAGTTTTGGAAAGCATGAGTTATGGAAATGGGGTGCAGTGTAGCTTAGGAAATGAGCCTCCAGCTTTGCATGCCAGAAACCCCAGCCTAAGGCCAAAGCCCTCCCCCTTGGCATTTCTCCTTGCCTTTGCTCTTTCGGTATCTGGGAACAGGCACCCCAAGGCCCTATGGCAGAAGGATGTGAGACAGACTCAATGCTCACAGGTGATAAGGACCCCTGGTCAAGTCCATTCTGGATGCCAGGCACTATCTGTAGAGCATTTTTCTTAATCTTTCTTCTGCAATGGCAGGTTTCCACCCCTGAGTTCTCCTGGTTCCCATCTATATCCCTTGTTCTCTCTCTGGCCCTCCTTTCCAAGTATAAGCTCACCCAGGAAGGCTTCTCCTCCTTGGAAGAGGTCCTGGGTTCAGAAGTGATGGAGGGAACATCCATCCATCCATCTATCACTCAGCCATCATCCATCCATCTATCCATCACCCATCCATCAATCATCCATCTATCCATCCCCCATCCATCCACCCATCCATAATTCATCACCATCCATCCACCCATCCATAATTCATCACCATCCATCCATCCACCCATCCATAATTCATCATCATCCATCCATCCTTCTCTAGGACAGTTCCAGTTTCCCACTCTAGCATGTGGAAGGCAAAGAGGGCCAGCTTGAGATGGTCTCTATGACTTGGAGGAAGATGCTATCAGTATAGAGCAGAGGGGTCAGTTTCCTTCAGGATCCTGGACTGGCTACTTGCAGGGTGGATTGTGTGGGCCTAAGGAGGGAAAAGACCATGGCAGGGGCTTGGGGATCTCTGGGATGGGGAGGATGGAATGGCTGCTGATCTACGGAGAGGAACTTGAAGACTATGTGTACCTCTCCTAATCCCAGTCTCGCCTCGCTCACAGGGGCCCTAGGTCCCAAGGGGAGCGCTGAGCAGCTGGTCCTGATCTACAGCACGCTGGGGCTCTGCCTCTGCGCGGTCCTCTGCTGCTTCCTCGTGGCCATGGTTGCCTGCGTCCTCAAGAGGAACGGGGAGCCGCTCTCCAGCCAGCGCCCCGCGGGGCCTCGGAAGCCCACGCGCAGGTCCACCCATGGTAAGTGCTGGAAACTGAGTCCTTCTCTTCTTCCTGCTCGGTGACAAGCGAGGGCCAGCGTCCCGTCCCTCGTCCCTCCTCCCCCCGTCACTGGCGTCTACACTGTCAGCCTTTGGCAGGAGAGCCTGGGGCGTGTGGACCACCCCGGAAAAATCAGGGTGTGGGTGGCGGCTTGGGCTCCCCGGGGAGCAGGGCTCCCTAGGACGTCACCTTGGGGTGGGATGGATGGTCAGTTTCGGGCCCCGGCGAGCAGGGTGGCCGTGGGGTTGTGGGTCAGGGGGACCTCTGCGGTCCCTGCGGGCTTGGGGGGGGGGTGATCGGTGTTCCTGGGGTTCCCCCCCACACACACACACGTACACATGGCCTCCCTTGTTCTCCTCCTCCCCCCGCCTTCCCCGTGCAGATCCCGTCATGGAGGCTGGTGGAGTCCCGGGCGCGATGCCGGGGCCCGTGGAGACCTGCAGCTTGTGCTTCCCGGAGCGCGGGGCGCCCACCCAGGAGAGCGCGGGCACGGCCGGGACCCCAGGCCTGGAGGGCACCGGCAGGTCGGCGCTGGG